TATAATCGACAGCCATTTCTGTCGATTATAGCTAGTATATTCGATAGCCATTGTGGCTGTCGATTATACTTCCTATAATCGACAGAAATGGCTGTCGATTATAGCCAGTATATTCGACAGCTACAATGACTGTCGATTATATCCTATATAATCGACACTTTATTATAATCGACAGAGTTTTTGTCGATAATATAAGTAAAATCGACAGTTTTTTGACTGTCGATTATATTTTTGTCGATTATATGCTGTTTTCTAGTAGTGATTTGTCTAGAACCTCAGATGGGTTGGCTTGATTTAGGGATTTTCAGATTTTCATAAGAGTAAAGGGAATAAGAAGGGAGTTTTGGGGGTTGTTGATATGGATTTTTGTGGGCCCTCAAACAAAATTCAACAACAAAAAATTATTGCACTTAACGGTCAAAAATTCCTCTGTCAGTGGGAGTTATAAATGGTGTTAGGGTTGTGTCAGGGGAGGGAGGTAAATGTAATGGAAGTTAACGCAGAGGGAGGATTTTGAACAACTTGTAAGTATAGGGAGGACAATGAATGAAAGTTGAAAGTAGAGGCACTGTAGTGGGCTTTAATCCTTTTATTTTTCTAGGAAATACCTCATTGCAAGATTTTGCAAGGATATATATTTTGATTCTCACATGTCTCAAAATTATGATAAACAAAGGCAAAAAAAAAAAAAATTTTAATCTTTATTTTTTTGACATAATTATCAACTTATAAAGTTTTCTTCATACATATTTCTAAAGAAAAAAACTTCCTTAAAACTTTTGTATATTAGACATATTTAACAACTTTCCCTCGTAAAGTTTCTCTATATCAATTTCTTACTTAAATATAACAAAATTAATAACCCAAACAAAATTCCAACAAAACCTTGTTATAGAAACTTAGTAATTTTTTGTACAATACTTTTTAACATTTTATGTAATATTTTTTCAACTACTTTCACACTAAAAACTTTCGAAAGAAAGTGATCTCTAACCAAACACACCTTAAGGTAATACCCCAATAGTGTTACTGGCTTAAGAATTGACTAAGATCCCAAACTTTCACCAAATCCGTAATTAAGGTTTCAAAGTTCTATTGTGCTCAAGTAAGGTCCTTAAGTCATTGAAATTCTCAAAGTGGATCCAATTGGACCGAAACCAATAGGTCCTCATCAATACAGTTAACTCTAATGGGTTAAATATTCAAAATGGTCCCTTGCCTTTCTATTTTGTCTTCTAATAACTTCAAAATGCTTCTTAAACTTATTTTTAGGACCTACAACTAAAAATTAATCTTAATTAACTAAAATAAATTACTAATTAGCTATCACAATATATTTGATTTGAGGGAAACAAAGAGGAGGGGAGGGGAATGGAATTGAAGGATCTTGTATCTCTCCATTTTCCTCCATTTCCCTTCCATTACCACCCACCAATTTGGATAAGTAAATGAATCAAAAATAAATAAATAAAACAAAGAGCTTCCTTTGCTTTCTTTCCCATCCAATTCTTTTGGTAACCAAATAGAGGAATTTTCTTCCCTCTTCTCCCTTCTCCTCCATTCCCCTCAACTCAAAAATACTATTAGATGATTTCATTAAACATTAATTAATCATTAAGTAAAATTTTAATTATTAATTTATTAATAAAATAACCTAATCTTTTATTTTTATTTATTCTAAAAAAGATATGATGAATTTGTGAACCTGATAATGCCCTTCTCTTCTTTGTTCATCCTCCTTTTCTCTTTCTTTTGTTATTTTTATTACTTTATTAATTGATATATTTTGTTTGTTATGGTTCAAAAAATAATAATGTAATTTTTTATAATAGCCCATATAAATGTCATATAAAATTAAAATTAAAAATTAATTTTTAGTTGTAGGTCCTACAAAATTATCACATCTATAGAACAAATAAGTTGAAGGATTGTTTAGAGGCTACTGAAAATTTTAGAGTCATTAAAAGAAAAAAAAAAGAAGTTATAGACCATGTTGAATATTAACCAATCAGAGTTAACAGCCCGTTGATGACTAATTTTATAGGTTTAACAGTTCCCAGATCTCATTTAAGAATTTTTATGATTTTAAGACCTTATTTGAGTGTAATAAAACTTTAGGATCTCAATTACAAGTTTAGTAAAAATTTAAGGCTCTATTCAATACTTAAGCCCTCTGTTAAGCATGAAAATTTAGTATTGACAAAATAATAAAAAATTATGTAGGTTAAATAAAAAAGTCAATACTAATAAATTTTAGAGGAGATGGGAGCGTGTTTAAACTCCAGTGTCCAAATGTTCAAAAAAACTCCAGTGTCCAATTTTCCCGGATACCATTCCGAGGTCAGGTCACTATCATCCATGTTAAAAAAGCTGTTATTAGGGATGGAAAGTTTTTTCAAGACAAAAAAGATTCTTTCTAATAAGTGGAGATGAAGGCATTTTTCTCTTTGTAAAATTTTGTTTGAAATTTCCTGCATCTCATGGGACTCCGTGAAGATTTATGCATAATAAAAAAAATATAAATTTATTTATATATTTTTATAAATATATTAGTAATTAATTTTTTATTTATCTAACTTAATTCACGAGCTTAACTCAATTTAATTGTCTACTCAAATTCTTTTTTCAATCTTTTCCAAATTCAATTTAATAAATTAATTGTCATTTGCATAGCAGTATATATTTACTAGAATTAGACATTGTTAAATTATATATATAATGTATTTACTTATTTAAATTATTTTAAAATTTTATTTTTTTTTATTTATTAAAAATAAAATAAAATTTTACATAATTAATATTTAATAAAAAATATTTGTCATACTTATACCTTAAAAGTATGTGTTAAAATGAAATAAATATTTTTTTATAATTAATTTATATAAAAAAATAAAAATTTACTTTTATTTAAGTGTTATT